ACTGATCTTTATCGTAAAAAGTTGCATATTCAACATGATATATTTCAAGACCCCTTGCTAACTTTATTTGACACAAAATCCTTACTCACTTCATGTGCTGGCCTGAGCTATTCACTCCACTAGTTGCAATTCATTTAGCTAAACCACTTTAATAGATGCACCGCCAGTGGAGGAACTCAACCTTTTCACTGAACAGACAGGTTTTGCAGAGCTTCTCATTAGGATTGATTAGATAAAAGCATTATGGTGCCTCCAGACTAAGTTTGACGCACCACATTCTTTAATGCCAGTACTATGCACTAATTATGAATGCGTAGTTCAATGTGTTTTTTATTGTTCCGTTGCAAATGGTTATTGTGACCGAAACGACACTTCCACTTTCACTTCCACTCCACTTCCTACATGTACAACATACCTTGGAGCGAATTTTATCTTTACATTATGTGGCTAGCACGCAATCGAATGCCTAATGCCGACGTCAAGGACGAACGCCATAAACTGGTTCTACAGTCTAAATTGTTGTAGCCGATATGGCTGAAGCCGATGGAAATACCCCAATGCGGGTTTTTACCATACGAATGTCCCATTACGATTGGCTGTCTGATCTTCACTTGGGACCGAGATGAGTTCGCGAAGGCTGATTCGTCAGTCTTCGACTATCGATCGGTCAATTGCATGCGCGCAAGCGAACAAAACACGCGCCGCACCATACCTTTGGCGCGTTCACGTACTCCCCATTGATGCTTTACGCGCGTATGACTCAGTCCTGTCCAGGTGAAGGTCACGAAGCGATTGGTCGATTTTCCATTGCCTAGAGGTCCAATTGGCCGGCCTCTCACCTATACGCCTGGTTAGTCAAGTAAGACGACACTTATTCACGTCGATCACATTTGGAGCATGCATCCGGTGCCCGCTCCAGCGTCTGGCGTCTCCACACCGAGTACGACAACTTCTTTTACAAAACATGAAGTTATTCTGCCCATTTCAGCTCTGGGGGGTGTCTTATCTGTGACTCCGAACCTAGGAACTAATGTGCCTACTTTGCTCCCAAAACCCGTACCCGGCCCTCCTGGAACTGTTTTATGCAATGCACAGCCTATCACGTCTTTGGAAAGCGTAGCTTCAATCATTTCAAGCTCAGGATGCAATGTACAGGGAGCTCAAATGTCGTCAACTCCTAGACCCGATTTGAATCATGTTCAACAGCCGATTCTTGGACCAATTCCCGGACTGGACCCACTAATGGGGATCGCCATCATAAATAGCACAACCGCTACCTTCATCTCTCAATTAGCTACAAATGTCTCCGGTTCTCTAACGTCAGTCGCTGTCTCATCCATTGCTAGAGGCTCGAATGCAGAAATTTTGGCGTCGCTGAGGGATGTCGCCCAGCTTCTGACAACGATGTCAAGTCTGACAGCCAATCTAAATAATTCGGTGTCATCTATGATCTCAATCGCGCAGAGCAGGTGCAGGATTCCGGCTCAAATGGACCCTTCTACGTGTAATATTGCTAGTGAGGTTGGAGGCAATTCTCAGACACCCACACAAGGAACGCTGAAAGCTCTACTCACAAAACCATCATTCCAAGGTGACAGCGAGGAGGAAAATCGACCAACAAATCAAGTCGATGCCTTGACGTCTACAAAGGTAGCTCTGCCGCCCCGAAAAAAGTCACGACGCGTACTCTCCCATTCAACTCCTTCAGAGCCCTCAAATCAAGGAATCGACGAGGGGAAGTATGACGCGTGAGTCGAAAAAGCAGGCAACGTTCTTCATTTATAAAGCTTTGTATTACTACCATATCAGCCAATCGTTTGAGACCTATTATCTGATTGGTCAGATTTCCTAGTTTCCTTACTTTATTGGCTGGTATTCTTTACTGATTTTTAGGGTAAAATGGCGACTACGATGAAGTGTGTGATTGGGACCACTTTAACATACTAAATTACGCTTTTATTTGTGGTGGAATTTTGTGTCTTAAAAGGCCTTGAAATAAAGTCTTTAACTCCTGCACGACCTAATTCTACTTCTGCATCGGGCCGCATTCATTAGTGAGGAGAGGATGCTGTGAACATACTCCATGAATCACTAGCTCACTTATTTCACAAGAATTGGGATCAGTACTAGAGAAGTTGTTATACATGTATTTGTTGGTAAGCCTGTTATTGCAAGGGCGTAGCGCTGGGAGACTAGAGATAAGCGGTAATACGGTCGAACGACACATGCCCAAAGCGTGGGTCTTGGGATGTATCAGTTTCGGTTTCCCTCTCCGCAAAATTTTTTTTCTATAAATCTTTCTGTACAATTATGATAAAA